CATCAGTAAATATTTTAAGTCCTCTTCACTTTCAGCAAGCAAGGTTGTATCATCTGCATATCGCAGGTTGTTAATGAGTCTTCCTCCAAACCTGATGCCACGTTTTTCTTCATAGAACCCAGCTTCTTGTATTATTTGCTCAGCATACAGGTTGAAAAAGTATGGTGAGAGAATATAACCTGTCGCGCACCTTTCCTAATTTTAAACCATTCAGTGTTCCCATGTTCTGTTTGAGGGCCTTTCAACTTGAGGGGCTTATTTCCGGCACTACATCTGACTGTGTTTCTTTGCTATTCATAAGGCTTTCAGTGACTAAATATTCGGAAGTAGCTTGCCACTCCTTCTTCCTAGTGTGTCTTCGTCTGGAAGCTCATCTGAAACCTGTCCACCATGGGTGACCCTACTGGTATTTAAATACCAGTGGCATAGCTTTCAGAATCACTGCAACTCACAAGACACCACAGTACAAAAAACTGACAGACGAGTTCCATGTGTAATAGTCTTCTTTTATGTTGTTTAAAAAAGGCATCTGCAATATATTATTGGTCTTGCAAAATTATATCCTGTCTATCACCAAGGCCACATTTTCCAACTATTGATTCTTCCTCTTTATATCTAAATTTTGCATTCCAATCAGCAGTAATTATCAACACATGTTGACTGCATGTTTGATTAATTTCAGACTGAAAAAGTTGGCAGAATTCTTCAATTTTATCATCACTGGCTTTAGTAGTTGGTGTGGAAATTAGAATAATAGAGGTATTTAAACTTATATGTCTTTCATGTAGGCATATGGATATTATCTGATCACAGATAGTGTTGTACTTCAAGATAGAGCTTGATACGTTCTTTTTGATGATGAATGCGATGCCATTCCTCTTCAACTTGTCATTCCTGGCATGGTAAACCATGTAATGTCAGATTCAAAATGGTCAAATACAAATCCATTTCAGCTCACTAATGCCTAGGATATCAATATTTATGCATTCCATTTCATTTTTGACAATTTTCCTACATTCATATTTTGCACATTCCATGTTCTGATTATGAATGGATTTTTACAGCTGTTTCTCTTCATTTTGAGTATGCCCCATAAGCAAATGAAGGTCCTGAAGGTTTTACTCCATTCACATCATCACAGTCAACTTTACTTTGAGGAGGCAGCTCTTCCCCAGTTGTATTTTGAGTGCCTTTCAACCTGAGAGGCTCATTTTCCGGCACTATATCTGACAATATTGCAGTGGTCTTCATCACGGTTCAGTATACAATATTCTGGTGTTGACAGGGTTCCACTGCTATTCATAAGGTTTTCAGTGGGTAATTATTCAAAAGTAGTTTGTTTCTCCTTCTTCATAGTCTGTCTTTGTCTGGAACCTGTCTACCAGGGGTGACCCTGCTAGTATTTAAAATACCTGTGGCATAGCTTCCAGAATCACAGTAACATGCAAGTCACCACAGTACGACAAACTGACAGACAAGTGGTGGTCTATAAGGATAATACTCATTAATTTTTATATTCATGAGCTTTGATATTTCTGAGCTGTTATACATAATAGTGGTTTCATCTCATTTTGAAAATTCAATGTAAAATGATATATTACTCAAACATAAAAAATACAAATATAACAAAAAAAAGAAAGTTCCAAAAGTCATTCATCAATATGGGGTGAAATGTATGAGGCTCTGTGAGAACACCAACTGCTGTAGTTCCTGCAGTGTATGTGTAACCCTGAAGAATATTCTGGTTACTACTAAGAACACAGTGGTATTCCAGGAATGTGTCACAGTTAATATCACACTCATACACACGAAATGCATGCACACAAATTTGATATACATTTTTTTCTTTCAAAGCCACAAAGCAGCCTACAGATTTCTTGATGACTGCCAATGTGAAAAACAGTGTTGTAAGACAGTACTGTTTCCATCTAGGGATGAAGTGAGGGGTCCCCCTGGGACTCTGCACACTCAGGTCCCCTGGGATCCATGTCGGTACACTTCTTTCCACGTTTCTTTGCTCTAAAGTGATGACATTTTCGCTTACGAACAGACACTCATCATTACTCTCAGGCAGAACATTTTATGTTTCTTTAAATTATCAGTACATGAAGACAGTATCATTTCCCGTACTAACATTGTAAGAGAAGAAAGAATGAGTGGGTTTCTAAATGTCTTGCTGGAAAAGAGAATAACAAAAACAAAAGCCCTTTCAAATTGAATGAGAAGATTAGTGAAATAGGAATTCAAAGTCTTTCTTTGATCCCTACTCAATGATCACTGTTGGCTTCCATTGGGTGAGTTCTAACATACCTATACGCTAAGTTACTATGTATTAACAATAGTCTTTGATCCAATGAGAGACTACTCTATAGATCAACAAACCCAAACAAAATCACTTAGAACCATACTTTGATATTGGACAATACTTTATGTGCAAGTGATTCCTATACTTAGTTCTGTACAATTGCTGCTGTTTATCAGTATTACTAGCCATTTTATTTTCAAAGCAAATTTAGATTTTACCTTCGCCAAATTTAAAAATTAGTTTTAGGAACCAGCTATCAGGGTTAAAGTGTTGATTCTTGTGCTAAAGGTAACAATGATTAAGAGTGGTTGTGGCTGTGTACCATGGAGTCAGTTCCGACTCATAGCGACCCTGCATAGGGTTTCTGAGGCTGTGAATCTTTAAGGGAGCAAAAGCCTCATCTTTGTCCCATGGACCTGCGGGTAGTTTCAAACTGCTGACCTTGAGGTTAGCAGCCCAACTCATAACCACTATGCTACCAGAGCTCCCAGGATCAAGCATAAGTGCTTTTAAATAGACGTGCCTTCTTCAGATTACTTTCCTTATTGATCAGAGTCATTTGGGCTCTGCTTTTCAACTAAATGTGTGGCCAACCTTGTGTCTACTTTTGGCATATGCCAAGGCCACATTTAACAGCCACATCTCTCTTACTGGCTGTCACAGGCCTTGCCCTTTCATGTTTGAAAACCCCAAGGAAGCCAAGAATGATAAGGGAATTTTTTTCCCCTCATACTGAGTGGTTCAGTTCTGACTGAACTAATTTCAAAATAAATTATATAAAGTTCATATAAAAGTCAAAAGGAGGAGCTAAACTGGAAATCCTGACAAAATCAGTTGCTTAGATGCTAATAATACTGGAATGTAAACGCTGGGAGCAATTGGTGGTTTTGGCCATTTCCTTCTGTGATTAGTGAGGAAGCTGGAAATAGCCGTTAGCAACGTACATGTTTTAATGAAGGCTGTATGTTCCTTCATAGTTGAACATTTTCTTGGGATATGGTCCCTCTGTTTTTAAAAGTTTTGACTAGCAATTAGAGAAGTTTCTTCTCACCTTCAGAGCTTCCATGCCAGCTTGGATGACAGGAGCAAAGACAGTCTCGTTTTCATTAGAGTCTGCAAACATCTCTGGAATCTGGTCCAATAAACTGCAAGAAATGAGTGAGCATAAGGTTTTAAATGTTCAGTACAGTTGTAATAAACTTCAAGGAATAAATCACTGGCATTTCAAGTCTAAACACAAATGGCATTTACTTTACACCCAACATCTATGGGTGAATTTCACAGGTCATTCCTCAGGGAAGGACTGTCTGTTCGCTTAGATTGGTTCGGCACTAATTGTTTATGACTTGGTTATAACATTCGTAAAGGCACATCCTCTGGAGATAATTTTCTATTCGCTATATTATCGATCTCTGAAAGTATAAATTCTTGAAATAGTAGCTGTATCTTGAGTTATTACAAACATCACTGAATAAACTGATCCACAGACAAGAAATACCTTCCCTAACCTACCTTGTAACAAAGAAAAAGGGCTGACAGTAAGTACCCAAATCCTCCTTTTAGATACTGTTCTGTGTTAAAGAGACTAATTGCTACTGAATAAATTCCGACTCATGATAATTCCATGTGTATCAGAGAATAACTACACTCTACAGGGTCATTCAAGGCTAATTTTTTGGAAGCACATCACCAGGCCTTTCTTCTGAGGCCCTTGTAGATGGACTCAACTTTCCAGTTATAGTTAACCAAAAGCACTTAAACCATTTTACCACCCTGAGGATTCTAAAGAGAAACAGACCTAACAAAGGTAATCGAGTTTTAAAATTCCCCAAAAAATCAATAAAATTTAATCAAAATGTAATGCAAATAAAAATAAATACCTGATTCATATCTAAAATATAAAACACTTAATATTTACTTGTGAATCACAGATTGGGATTCTTGATAGTTGACAAGGAAACCATCCAACAAAGGAACAAAGACTTCACCAACATCAGTCACGACCATCATCTGAGGTTGGGCCAAATTGCTTTTTACATTAAAAAAGTGGAGAACTTTGTTATATGTAATAAAGCCAACTCGAACTGCCGAAGTCACTTCGTGCTCTTCCCTATGAGGAAAAACAAAACAAAACGGTATTTAGGTCCTTGTTAAAGTTTAGAATAAGAGATAGGTTGCTATTTGACATTAAGTGTGCCTTTTATAGAATATATGGAAATCATGATTAAAATTTTGGTCTTAATTTTTATTATGGAACATAAACAGTACTGACGGAGAGAGGTGGAGAGGAAATATTTTGTTATCACAAAAATATGCAAAGAGGTGGGGCTTGATGGTGGCTAGGGTGGAGGTACAGTGAAGTTCTCCTTCAGAAATACCACAGAATACCAGGCAAAGCAGATCCAGGGCAGAGCTCCAAAACTCGGAACCACAGAAATAGGAATATTTTAAAGGATTGAAGGCTAGTGGAACTTGTAACAAAAGAAAGAAATCATGTACTTTTGAATCTGCCGGGCTCGGTGGACCCTGTAGCCGACAACTTGGCCAATACCAAATGGCAAGACCAAACAGGGGAGCAGACACACCACAGAAAAATGTCATGGGAACCTTGGAGCAAAAGTGGACAATACGCTTTGTTGGTTATGCTTTGTTCTGATTTTCTTTTTTTGTATCTGTTCACTGGGAACCCCCCCCCCACACTGTTTGTGCACCTCCATTCTGGTGACTAGAGAAGGTGCCTGAGTGAGCGGACACCCTCCACCCTCACCACTGGTGGGTTCCCTTGCCATGCATGCACACAGATACACTCAGCCCTAGAGCCGGCCCTGAACAGTTTTTTTTTGTTGTTTTTTTTTAATATGGGAAAGGCCAGGACAGGGATGTAAAGAGGGAAAGAGAGTTTAAAAACAAAACAGGCTGAAAATTAATTTAAATCCTGAGGTACAGCATAACAACAGTGGCATCTTGAAATCTATCAGGCAGTTTTGAAGGTAAAAAGCTGAAAAGATGACATTAAAGTCATACTCATATTGGTGGCTGGCTGCGTGTCTAGGAGTCAGTTCTGACTCATAGCGAGCCTGGGCAGGGTTTTTGAAGCTGTGGATCTTTGTGGGAGAAGAATGCCTCGGCTGGTGGTTTTGAACTGCTGACCTTGTGGGTCGTAGTCCGAATCGTAACCACTGCGCTACCAGAGCTACAGATTTTTTTTTGTTCTCTCTTCTCTCCCTCCTCTCCCTTTCTGTGATTACAGACTACAGTATTCAGTCTAGTTTTGTTTTCTTTTTTTTTTTATTTTGCTGGTGCTGTTTTTCTGTTTTATGCTTACCCTTCTACCTTTTGGGGACTCTTTCTCTCCCTGTATTACCCAAGAAGAGACAGCAACTGCTGCCATATAGTCAAGCTACAATCACACTCTAGAAAACACCAAAACCCAGGCAAGAACCAATACCAACTGCCATATACCAGGGAGGCAGACAACACCTGTGAAAGTTACTCTGAGTTAAGCAATAAGAAGAGTGAAAGGGAATCCCACATCCTGATCACATCTACCTGGAAGCAATCAGAAAGCATAAAAAAATACCAAAACACATACTCAATTAATAATTAAGGCCACAGATAAACATTAAACGTGTCCAAGAAGCAAAAGCAGATGACCATATCAGCACATGTCCAGAAACAAAATAAAATAAATGTCTGAGACAAATGAGCTGGACGTGACCTGGATTCCATTCTGGAAAGAGGGCAGGCCTTGGGAATGCCTGAGACGGAATTCAGAAAAATGATAATAAAATATTTCAAACACTTTATAATGGAGTTGAAAAAATAAGGAAAAATTCAGGAAAGTGCTACAGGAACAATCAAATAAGATACATACAGCACTGGAAACAATTCAAAACCTACAAAAAGAAGTCCAAATGATTCATAATTGTTGTTG